AGGGAGAGAGGGAGGGAGGGAGGGAGGGAGAGAGGGAGGGAGGGAGAGTAAGTCAGCCTCCCATTCAGCAAAGCATGAGTTCCAGGTCCTATGAAGGTCTAGCTTTATCCCCAGTGGCCTGGATTGGCTTTTCGGGCCCTCACCCCCTCACTAGAGCTCCTTCTCTCTGCTGCTTGGTTTCCTTCTGGTGGAGGCAGCAAAGCTCTGAACAAGCACAAGTCCCACTCTGACATTAGGAGTGGCACCAAATCCACCAGGCTCCCTAAGCCTGCACATTGCTCCACTGTGAGGAGTGGATGAGATGAGGGCTCTTAGCATGGTGCCAGGCAGGCCAAGAAGACTCCCCTGGTTTCCATTATCCCCTGATTTAGTGTGAAGCAAGGACTGGACCCCAGCCCAGCTGCCAACCTCCAACTGCTTTCTGTGAACTTCCCTCCTCACTGGCCCCACACTGGCCCTCATACTCAGGGATGGACCATCAGGAATGATGTCCCTTTTCCTACACCTTCTATCCTCCACAGTGACCAAGTTTGCCTGCTCCAAGACTAGGATGGTCAATTCAGACAGGATGCTGTCAATTTCACACCTATGAACCGGGTGAGTGAGATTGATAGGTACAGAAACTGCTGCCCACAGAGAGGAGCTTTGGAGTGGATCTGGGGATAAGGTCGAGAGTAGAAGGCTGCCTCATCAGAGAATTGCAGAGAAGCTGACCACACACAGTTCTGAGAAGCCATGCTGGCCTAGGGAACAGCCACACCCTCAGAATGATGCCTGCCCTCCAGAGAACCCTCCTCTCTCATGTAGCTGGCCATTTTCTCCATACCCCCTCCAGACCCTGAGCAGGCCTGGCCTCATCAGAAGACCCTCTTACCCAGAGGACTCTGGTCCACACTCAGCACAAAGCAGCAGTGACAGCAGGTTTGGCTGTGGTGTGGTCTGGGACAACTGCCCTGCAGACCTTATGAACCCCACCCCTTCCTTTCTTGAAAATTCTTTGTTTTGAAGGTTTTGTTCACAGGGACGTTAAATTATCTAGGGAGAGAATTATGGGAGCAGCAGCTAAGGGCTTGGGGTGGGGGGGGGACTGTACTGGGGAGATAATGAGCCCCAGAACATGCCCCCAGTGAAGGTTTATTTGTAGGTTTCTCTTTGTCCTGTTTCTACAGCCTTATTTAACAGACAACCATTCCCTGAAGTTCTTTCATTTTGGGGAACAATTGTTTTTCTTTTGAGACTCACATATCCCATATTCAATCATACTGAATTTACTATATAACCCAGGATGACCTGTAACTTCTGGTCCTCTTGCCTCTAACTCCCAAGAGCTTGGACTGCAGGTGTGCATCACCACATGGATTTATGCACTGCTGAGGAAGAACTCTGAGGCTTCGGATGTGCTAGCTAAGCCTGTTGTTCTGGCAATCAAGCATGAGCTCTAAGGCTATATGTTTGGAGATGAGAAGCATCTGCAGTCAAAGCCATTGAGCCTGACAGGCATAACTTGGGCTAATGCCCTGACTATATAGGGCATGGCTTCTTTTGCTTAAGTGAAAGAGATGGACTGAGGCTGGCACAAGGGACAGAGCAGGACACCAGACACAGGCCAGAGAGCAAAGCTGCCTGAGGAGTCTCAATGGACACAATAGTCTGTGATTCACCAGAAGCTGGTGACTCAAAGTCTCAGAGACATTAGCTAATTGTGGAAGCGATTACAGGCAATCAGCGATGGGATCTCCCCCCCTCTCCAGGCCAATGTTACTCTTGGACATCAGCTGTCCCTAATGACAATCCCTTCCCTGGGTCATAGCAAACCAGAGGTATACATGTGGAAGCCGCTGCAGCTTTGAGATGTGGAAATCCATTGGTGACTGAATTCTGGGCAGCAGTCTTGACTTTTAAAAATACTCACACATTTGAAGAACAAGAGACCCCAAAATGACCATATACACAATACAACTATCATACAAGGAAAGACACCTGAGTAAAGGATAAGGATTGCCCATGGGCATTTTCCTACCAAAACAAGCAAGACTTGTGTGGTTGTTAAGTGGTGCCATAAGTATACACTTCTAAATGCTCTGCTGTTTGATATGCCTTGGTACCAGCTGCTCAGTATCATCAGGGTACCCAGCAGCCATGCAGGATCCCAGTCCAGCTCAGTGTTCCGAGGAACACAGAACCAGAATCTCATTTTTCCAGGATGTGGGTGCTCTGCACGTTCACCAAAGCTAAGAAACACTGATCCGCAGTCATTTACCTTTGTGAATTAAAACTGTCTCCAAGGAACACCTAGTTACCTTATTTTTAGACATGGCTCTAGTCCAGATTGGCTTCGACATCTATTGCAGCCAAGGATGGTCCTGAACTTTTAATCCTCATGCATCAATTTCCTGAGTAGCTGGGAAGTCGAGACCGGCACCATCATACTTGGCTTACATGGTTCTGGGGATTGAATCCATAGCTTCATGCATAGTAGGCAAGCACGCTACCGAGTGAGCTACATCCTAGCCCAATCACTTTCAAAACTAAAAATCCTTTGAGGCTTTATGATTCATAAACCTGCAAAGCTCCCAGAATATAGCCGTAACATGAAACCAAATCCTGCTTTCATAAAATTTATGTTCAACCAGGGAATAAAATTCTGTAGATAAGATAGTTAGACCCACGGTGATAGTGGGACAAAAACAGATGTGGTAGCATATTAAAGTGACAATGGTGGTCAGGAAAAAGTCCCCCTGAGAGACGCCGCCCTAACTGGCTCTGGCTCTTGAAGAATAGAAAGAACCTAGTCTCACAAAAAAAAAAAAAAAAACTATAGCAAAGGTCCAGAGAACAGCCATTGCAAAGCCCCTGAGGGCAGCATGTGTGTTGCAGGCCTGAGGAACAGAAGAGTACGTGACTTCAGCATCATGCAGAAGGAAAGTGGAGACAAAGGGTGAAGACAGGTTATACGCCATGGTGAGTAACTTAGATTTTATTCTAACTACAGGAAGTCATAATGAAGGAAGACACCAGAGAATTAGGGCCTGTTTTACATCTCCCCCAATGGCTTAAAACAGCACCAATTGGGTTGTTTTAAAAAAATCTGAAGGTCAGGTTGTAACCAGGACCCAACAGGACAGCTCCTCTCTATTTTACAGAATGTTAGCGATAACTCCCCTTCTGCACTTAGCTTCTCCTCACTCTACTTCTACCCAAACTTTGCAGGGCAGTTGGTGTGGAAAACAGGTTAGGTTCGATGAGGGGAGGCAATAAATAAATAAATAAATAAATAAATAAATAAATAAATAAATCAGGGTTCTGGTTTGACATGCATTTTAAGAGTTCCCATAAACATTCCCTGCAAGATGAGATGTCATGGGACCAGTCAGGAAAATGGTTCTGTAACTCGGGGGGAAGGTGTGGACCTGAGAGGTCAGCACAAAGGAGGTTGGGTAAATTATTGGGGAGGAAGGAGGAGGCAGGTAGGTGACAGATGAAGGCCCCAGAGTCTTAGAGCTTCAACACTTAGCTGGACCAACTCCCAGAGACAGATCCCCCAAAAGGTACACAGAAACTGCCAGTGCCAGCAAAAGAAAAAGGAAGTCAGCAAGAGGGGGGCAGCAATGGCAATAGCCATGAGAGGCAGTTTCCATAAAAGAAGACCGAGAGAGAGCAGTCAGTGGAGGGTCTTACTTGGGGTTTCCCCAGGATGGAGTTTTCCAGAACAGCACATTTGGCTATGAAACACTCCCACATGGAGAGAGGTGACTGCAAGAAAGAAGGCTCTGAGTAGGACAGGACCTTGACACTGGCCTCTGATGGGGGCAGGGACAGCTGGGCAAGTGTAGAGCATAGGGGCACAGGGAAGAATGTGAGCAGCTCACCTGGCTTCCCATTGCCTTGGTGAAGCACTGGGTGAGGTCATCTATTGACCAGTGGCCAGGGAGAAGGAACATGTGAGGGAGATGTGATACCAGCTGCAGATACAGAGATGCAAAGAAGCTGATATGGTGGGAAATCAAATAACCCGATGTGTAGAGTTTCCCTCTTTTCCAGCCTTTGTATAATAAGCGCCAACAAGTAAAATGATTCAGTTATATTCTGGTCATATCACTGGCTTATCTGTTCCTCATAACAACTCAGGGAAGGCAAAGTGGAGACAATGACACTAGCCCCAAGGGACACATTGCTTGGACTTCTGGTCTCATTGGGACTGTCCTTTATCCCTCCCTCCCCCTAGGCTGCTCTCCTCACAGCCCCAAGAGCATTGCCAGATCAATGTCTTTGCCTTCTGGACTTGACACCAGGTCTCTGTACCCTGAACTCATCTTCACTGAGCCTTGCCTTTGCCCCTGGGAAATGCTCCCACCGCGGTTGGCCTCAGGCTGGGGCTGCTACGTCTCTCCTCTGAGCTTCCTATTCAATCAGTACATCGGAACATAGATCCATGATGAAAATGTCTGGTTTTAAGTCAAAACTCCAGTTCAAGTTCTGAGCGCACTTACGCTCTTGGCAAAATTACTTTCCACATCTGACCTCCATTTCTCCGTCTTCCCTACAGCGAGAGGAGGGATGGTGATAGCAACAGTAGTAGCGCTCCACAGAATTTTCATGAAGACAAAACATCCTTCTCAAAGCTCCTGGTCCACAGAAAACACTCCCCACACAGGAGCAGGTGTGTTATCAACAGTGTTGTTAACAGCAGAGAAGAACCAGTTTACAGTGAGGACTTGAGGTTCAACATTTAAAATCTAAGAACGCAGGTCAGGCATGGTGCCACACACCTGTAATCTCCGTACTGGAGAGGTTGTGGCAGGATGATTGCAAGATCAAGGCCAGCCTGAACTATAGAAAGAGACCTTAGCTCAATTTCTTTTTTAAATCTACAAACCCAGAGAAAGGTAACAGCACACTTTTATGACTACATAAGAAAAGCTGGAGTCACTGCAGTCCCCGAGGGGCAGAAGGGCTGGGGGGTTACTCAGTGGTCAGCATCACTGTGTGCATTTGTTAAAAGAACAAGTTGCTCCATCTCACAGCAGACATGCCTGCTAAGGGGAGAGAGCAGGCATTCAAGGAAACAGAATAGAATTCTGGGGCTGGTGAGACAGGCAAAGGAACCTGACATGCTGTTTGATCCCTGGGACCCACAGGCTCCAAGGACAGAGCTGACTATGGCAAGTTGTCTTCTGAAAACAATTCTGATGCTGAGCTGGGCTGGAGTGAAGATTTCCACAACAAAATAAAGATGATTGTGCACTCCCAACACTGAATCCCAGAAAAATCCATCAAATGCTGTAAAGGAGACGACAGAAGAAAAGACATTAAGAATGACTAAAATCAAGAAGTGCCGGTTTCCTGATCCTGAGTTAGCCAAGAGAAGACACAAATCAAATCCAGGGAGATGCAGGGGAGGCCCAATGTCTGACGATGCAAGGAACCCAGCAAAACAATCTCCTGGGACACAGGTAGAAGAGGCAGGGTCAGAAGCCAAAGCACATTTGTGCTGGAGCCAGGTACCAGCTATGTTCTCTTGAAAAGCAAATTTTCACTCTGTTTAATAGCCATAAAATAGTAATGTCTTTGCTTCAGCAAGTTTATTTTTATGTGACAATAACAAATATTAATAACAGTGAGGCAATAACCTAAAAGTGGGAAAGTAGTTATTGCAATATTTTCATAACAACGTAAGACTGGAAGCAGCCTGAAAACCTAAAGGTAAGGAAATGCTTATATGAACAGTGGATTTAGTTGATATAATATTATGCAGATGTAAAAGTTATTGAGAAGCAACATAGTAACATCACAGGAAAGAAAGGCCAAGGGTACGCCTAGCACATAAAATCAGACTTCAGCTGGGACAGAGCTACACATGGCTGTGCATAACTTAAGCACAGGAACAAGAGTTACAAGGACGCCTGGCTGAACAGAGGATAGCTCACCGGGAAGCAGGACTCCAGATGTCTTCTCTTTCTCATTTGTCTGACTGCTCCCATTGTGCTCTCATGAGTAACTGGGGGTGCAAAGCTCATGTCTCCTCTTGTGTCCCTTTTAGTAGGTTTGGTTCAGCTCGTACACTTTCAGGTGAACTTCCGATAGTGATTTGGTGTTCAGTTTTCCCTGCTAACACACCCTAGTCTTGGTGGCCTCTGGGTTGCCTTCCTCCTTGGCTCCCCAGATCATCTGTTCTCTATCTTTCTGGAGCCAACTAGGAAGGGTCCTCTTTAAACAAACAAGAATTACAAGGAAACAAAAACAAAGTAACAACAACAACAACAAAATGTTTCCTGTCCCTTGAACCTGTGATGGCCATTTTGATAAAGGTGCCAGTCTACAATTTCAAAGCTGGTCTGTCTCTCTGTGTCTCTGTCTCCTCCCCACTTTTTCATAGTTTCCTTGTTAGTGAAACTGGATCTTCTCTTATATATCTTCCTGCACCCTAGATTTTTCAGATTATTATTTCTTCTGTCTTCTATTATTTCCCATATACACTAGCATGACTGACAGACCAAATCTAGCCCATGGCCAGTCTTTATAAAGTTTTATTGGAACACATCCATTTTATTTGCATATTATCTGTGGCTGCTTCCAAGCTATGGCAGCAGAACCTGTGATCCACAACACCCCAGATACTGTTATTGGGTGCTTTTGTGGAAGAAATTCATTTGATTCCTGATCTGAACACTTGATTAAATTCAGCTTTAATCACCCCCCTGAACTTACATCACAGGTGGCATTTATGGACTTCCATGGAGAGTGAGTAATGACTGGCTATCTCCTCTTTTTTTGCAATGTTAGCAGCTATTATTACTTAGAACGGAGATCCATTAAGCCATTAGGGGTTGCCAAATGGTAACACTCTTACTCAGCCTGCCTGCTTAATTTATTAGTTATTATGCTTCTGCAAACAGAAACTTACTCTTACCTACTATTTAGTTACCTAGATCTAGTGTTCTTACAGAAATTTAAAAATAAAAGATAAAATGCTTAGTTCCTTTTATTTAAAATGCTGATTCTGCCCTTTAATTTAGTAGAGGTTTTTATTTTTTGTTGTTCATTTTGTTTTTGTTTTTGTTTTTGTTATTGGTGATCTATCTGAGACAGGGTCCTACTATCCTAGAATGGCCTGGATAATTATCCCATTATCCTCCTGCCTCAACCTCCCAAATTCTGGGATTACAGGTGTATGCCATTACACACAGCTCTATTGACTAGTTTTCTAGGGAATAAATTGTTGTTTTCTTCTTTTATGTTTCATTGTGAACTTCTAGACTTTAGCCCATTGTTAACCTCACTTGAGCACATCCTTGGCCTGTTCAAATAAGCTGTGGTCCTTCTGCTATAACCTAATGCTCTTTGATGGCTTCCCTGCTAATCTAAAATGACAATGTTTTCTAGATCAGCATCCATCTGCTTATATGAAATTGGTCATATTGCTTTTAGATTTTTGTTTATTTGGATGTTTTGTTTTTTCAAATCTTCTGAGTTTATATTTGGACTGTACTTTGAAAACAGGGGTGACATCATCTTTGTCTGATTCCTCTCAGGGTAGGTAATGAAACTTGGCTTTTTAGGACACACATTTTCAATTCTACAGATCAACCTTGGTTAAGCAGATTAGAAGCCAACATATTTTCTCTACATCCTCCTACATTCCTCTTGCTGCCCTCTGGCCCTGTGACTGTTTCCAAAGGAAAACCCACAGTGCTCTAGGGTGGAGCATAATAGTCTCAAGTTGGGAGTCTCTGCTTCCCATCATATTGGCACAGAAGGTGGTTAGCTGAACCTAGGCATCTGCAGATATTATACCCCGACTGCAGGTGCACAGGGCTTGCTCTCTCTCCTGACCCAAGCTACATCTCCACACCAAGGAATCACAGGTAGGGACGAATGTGTCCTACAGGTACCGAAATTTGAAGGTGCATATTGTTGGCTTTCTCCTGTTGAGAAAGAAAGGGAAAAGGGTGATGGAAAAGAAGTCCATCTTAGTGTACACAGACAGTACTGTGTCAACAAATCTGCTCCACTCATTTCAGCAGGAAAGGGACTTATTCTTCTGATTTCACAGCTCAGGGAACAGTTAAACAACCTGTCCAGAGTGGCATGGATAATAAGAGGCTGAACTAAAACCTATTCCTAGGCCTTCCCCTTAAAGGATCTCTTTATAATGCACCTCCCAACCCTAGCCACCAATGCCAGTAAATACAGTAATACTAGATGCATTGGTGAAGTGCATCTCTGTATAAATAACCAAGAATAGCTGTGACAAAGTGTGATGACAGTAGTGTGTGTGGGCAAAGAACCAGGTGGCCTGCCCTGATCCTAAGGTTTGTGAGCAGGCTTCAGGAAAGGCTACCCGGAAGGAAAGAGGGAAGCTAAGTCCCAGGAGATTAGCTTGACTGAGGGACGGGGAGGACATAGAAAGAACGAATGTTTTCACCCCAAGACAGTATACAGAAAAGTCTCAAGACTTGAAAGGGTTTGAGGAACAGCCATCAAGTTATTGCCAACTCTTCCCATGGAGGGGTAGAGCCTGTTTATCTTCCTCCAATCTAGGCTGGCCTTGTCACCACAAACACAGTAGAAGTGGTGTCTTGTGACTGCCAAGGTGGAGCCTTAACAGAGCCAAGGCTTTTGCTTTGGCACACTTAGAGAGTCCTCTAAGCATCCAGCCACATGCTATGAGAAGTCCAACCATGAGAGGAGGTCACCCGGTAGAGAAGGCGAGCACTCCATCGTGGCATGGTCCATTTTATATGCCAACTTGACTGGGTCATAGGCCCAGATATTTTATCAAACAAAAATCTAGGTGGTTCTTAAGAGTATTTTTAGATGAGATTAACATTTAAATTAGAAGGCTTGGGAAAGATTTCCTCCCCTGAGGTGAGTAGGTCTTATTCGATCAGTCAAGAGCTTGAAAGATCCAACACAGTTGGATCTTTCCTGAGTAAGAGGAAGCTCTCACGCCCTCACTGCATTGAGATAGGGACATGGACTTCATGTCCCCTGCTTTCAGACTCATCTGAAACATTGGCTCTTTCTTCCTAGGTCTTAAGTCTTCTAACCTTTAGAGGGAACTACACCATGAGTTCCTCTGTTTTCTCAGGTTCCCACATTAGACTAGTAATATCTACTGGCTCCCCTGGGTCTCAGCTGGCCAGTGTATTTTGTAGATCTTGGAGCTTTCCCACCTTCAGAATCCTATAAGCCAATTCTTCACTATAAATATTTCACATACATGGCCACTTGGTTCTGTTTCTCTGGAGAACCCTGGCTGATGTATCCTCTGAAAACCTACCTTAGTTGTACTCCTTGCTGCTAGCCACGTGGGCAAGTTGTCTTGTCTGGCAGAACTCTCTCATGGCTACAGTCCTAGCAAACATCACACAGGATGAAAGGGCCATGCAGCTGAGGACAGTCAACCCGCAGAATTGATGTTTGGGGGCGTATGGTGCAGCAATAGATAATGAAATGGGGGGGTGCTGGTGTGCTAGAGGAAAAGAAAGCCAGGGTAAGTGGAGCAGAAAGTAGAAGGAGGGATAGTGCGGGGCAGCAGAGGAGAGAGCTGGAGAAATGGGTGGTGCTAGCTCATGCCAGACATCGTCACCATGGAGGTTTGGGTTCAGATGCTAATGTTTCATTTGCCCCCAGTTTCCTGCTTTCTGTCTCTCCTTGTCTACTGTTCTGCTTTTAGCTTAAGATTCATTGTCACAGCATTGTGTTGTATTAAGCACCGAGAATCAACCAGTACCAATAACTAAGTGCATAAACTGTCATTACCACTGCTGTACACACTTTGGTGTGTTGTTTACACATGTGGAGAGGACATACATGCTCCCGTGTGCATGTAGAGGCTACTGGTCAACTTCAGGTGCCATTCCTTGGGAGCCATCTACCTTATTTTTTGAGACAGTGTTTCTCACTGGCTTGAAGTCACCGATAAGGCTAGGCTGGTCCAGCAAGTCTCTGTGGCCTTTCCGTCTCAATCTCCCTGGCTTTGCGATTACAAGTGTGTGCCTCCACACCCAACTTTGTATATGGGTTCTGAGGACCAAACTCAGGTCTTCACAGCTATGCAGCAAACACTTTGTTTGTTGAGCTGCCTCCTCAGCACCAGAAATGAGCTCTTAAATCCCTAGACACCAAGAAAATGTGCAAAAGTGTAAACTTAGCGATTGCTATGGCTGGATTCTGACATCCCCCAAAGGCGCATGCTGGGGTCTGGCTCCCAGCTGATGGGATGGGCCTTTGTGAATGATGGGGTCTGAGGGGCTCTGACCCAGTGAGTGGATTAATCCCTTGAGTTCACAATATGCTGGTACTGAGGGCTGGAACCTAGTCAGGGGAAGTAGGAAGATATACCTCCTCCCTGGGACCTTCTTGTTTTTCCTCTCTGCTTCCTGCCACCTTAAGGTAAGCAGCTCTGCTCTGCCATGCACTGTCCTCCATGACACTCTGTCTCACCAAAGGCCAGAAATAAAGCAGCCAGCCAATAGTGGACAGAAACCTCTTAAAACTGTGAGTCAGAATGGATCTTTTCTCTTATAAGTAATTTTTCTCAGATAGTCGACACAATGTTATAAAAATGACTAACACGGGTTTCAAAACCATGCAGTCTACGATTTGCATGGAGGGAGAAATCTTCCAATTTGAATCTCCATCCTTCCTTTCTATCTGGTTGGCCGATTCCTCATTTATGTTAGGAAAAGCCTAACATAAATTTTAAGTATAATGCTATCCTCTGAGTCTTTCCAGTTCTTGGTACTTGAAAAGGGAAACCTTTAGACTTAAAAAGGTTTAACCCCAATTATGCCTCAAATGCTTGGCTTTTATCATGGAAAGCCAGAGCTCCCCAGACTGCTCTCTACTGAAGCTCAAGCATTTGATGCTTCCTCTCTTTATGTGTCAGACAATGACTATGGAAAGCACTTGTAGAGGCTGCGGCAGTGAAGAGAAGAACAGGTGGTACTAACGGACTGAACAAAATCAAGTTCAGCAGCAGCAGCCAGTTATGTTCTATACTGTCTGATACAACACACCCTGTTACTATGCTCTATACTGCCTGATATAAAAATCCTATTACTATGCTCTACAGTATCTTATACAACACACCCTGTTACTATGCTCTATACTGTCTGATATAAAAATCCTATTACTATGCTCTACAGTATCTTATACAACACACCCTGTTACTATGCTCTATATTATCTGATACAAGTTATATGACACAGTGCACCTCACTGCTGCTGCTATCTACTTTGTTAGTACAAATACTATAACTACCACTGAGTTGGCTTACACAAGACCTGCACAAGATCAAGCTAGTCAATACTTCAAAGTAGTAGGAAAGAGGCTCACGAGACTCACTTCCTGCTGAGGAGCTATTGACAGTTGGTGACTTCTGGGGGAGAAAAAGTCAGTTTTCTTTAAGGGTGTAGTCTTTGTATCAATTGCTTTTCTATTACTGTGATGAAACACCATTGATGAAACACCAAGGCAACTTAGAGAAGGATTTGTTTGGGGCTTATGTTCCAGAAGGATAAGAGCCCATCACCATCCTGACAGGAAAGCATGGCAGCAGGCGGGTATGGCAATCAAACAGCAAGCTGAGAGCCGAGAGCTGAGAGCTCACATCTTAAACCACGGATGGGAAGCAGAGAGAACTTGAAGTGGTGAGAGTCTCTGAACTTGGAAAATCTGTCCCCAGTGATGTGCTTCCTCCAGCAAGGCCACACCTCCCAAGCCTCCCTAAGCAGTGCCAATAACCAAGTATTCAAAAGCCAAAGGCCATGGAGACATCTGTCATTCTAACCACAGTTCCTGATTAGTCAGCCATGTTCCAGTGATGGCTTCACACCTATTCGTACCGAGCAGCACAAATTAGATGGTATAAAAAAAAATCTTTTAAGGACATGAAGCTGGGGAGAGGGTAAAGGGTGGATCTGGGAGAAGTTAGAGAGAGGACTGGGAATGAGTATGATCAAATATATTGTAAGCCTTATGAAATGCTCAAAGAATAACAATCATATTTTGAAGAAATGCTGGACCCCTGAAGGTTATGCTCACCTCCCATTTCTCAGTGTGCTCTTGATGCCAGCACAAGCTTCTTTCAGGTCACTTCACCCCAGTGTCTTCTAATCTGTCCCGATTTTGTTTTGAGTGCCATGTATACTGAACCTCTTTGAAAAGTTCTCCAGTTGTGAAAGTGGCCTATCACCCTGTGTGACAGACCTTTTCTTGGAGCTAAGTGCCTAACTTGGGGTGAAAAACAATCTCTGAAATTAAAACCAGCATGGCAGATGGCAGATACATTTATCCGTTGGGGCCAAATCTACTAGCTACCTATATACTATGTTGACATAAATTTGAAAGACTCAGACAATCTAAACAAGAAAGAATACTGGCCTGAGTGTGTGTATGTGAGTGTATTGTGTGTGTGTGTGTGTGTGTGTGTGTGTGTTTAGAGAGACAGTGTGTGTGTGTGTGTGTGTGTGTGTGTGTGTGTGTGTGTGTGTGTGTGGTGTGTATGTGTGTGTGAGCGCGCGCGCGCGCGCACACTATATACTGTGGCTGGGGGATGAAGTAGAAGTCAGTGCGCCAGAATCTGAGCCTGGTAATTGCTCTGACTGTGAAAAAATGAATGGTGACTATGGAGATGGAGTAAAAGAAGTCTATAAAGAAGCCTGGGAGGATGTAGAACCACTCAAAGCAGGTCTTATTGTGTGCTAAAGAGAATTGAATGAAGTTGGAATAAATGCAATTTCCACACACATAAACAAATCATCTGGCTGCTCCTAGCTTATTCCTTGAAAAGGTGAACTGGCTGAGTCCCGAGGCAGAGAATTATGGAAAGATCAGCCTTCCCTAAGCAAAACAAACAGCAACTTGTATGTGCTAAAATATCAAATTTTTTAAACACTCTGAGGGCATGGATACATAGAAGCAAAAATAAACCAAACACTGTGAAAGGCTGAGCCTCTCCAAAGAGAAGACATGTGGAACTACAGGATGAGAGTGGAATAGCTCCAAAGAGACACAGTGTGGAGGCGTCATCCAGGTGTTTAACAAGGCTAGAAGAGCATGTGATCCTAGTGGCTTGACCATTAGAAGCCCAAGGAGTCCCATGCGGAACGCATCCTCCTGAATCCTCAGCAGAGATTGGGCAGAGGCAGCAGAGAGGGACCATGATGAGGAAGATGAGTCTGGGATCTTTCTCAGAGCAGACGTGGGCAAAGGGGCTGAGGGAAACTGGGACATATCAAAGATCATATCTAGTCTTAAATCTAAGTTCCTGACACAGAGATTCAAACTTCCTGGAATTTCTTGAGTCATAATGTGATGTTAGTGATTTATACTGTTGAAGAGGTGACTCATGATGGGCTCCTATATACTATCATAGTAGGGCCTAGTCACCCAAACACCAGTCAAGTGATGATAAAGGTGGAACTTCTGCCTAACCTAACATCGGGAGAGGGCCTGAGGGTGTCAACTGAGCTCAATGACAAGGCAATCGAGTGAATCTTTGCTGAGGGGAAATCACTGATCTCAAACACAGGCCTTACCCTTTATCAGGGCCTGGTTCCAAACTCTGCATTGACTCCTATCTTTCAAATAGAGTAGTGTTTATAATCTATACACATCTTCCTATGCACTCTAAATCCTTTCTACATTATTTACCACACCTAATACAGTGCAAATGTTATATAAAGGTTGTTATACTATACTGTTCAATAAATAGAATTATTTAAGTTTATTCATGCTCAGCAAAGGTTTTTTTGCTTATTTTTTTTAGGTTGTTTGGTTTGGTTTTGGTGGGAGGCATTAAGCCCAGGGCCTTGTACATGTCAGCCAAGAGCCCTGCCATTGAGCTAGGTCCTCAGGCCTTAGAGATAAGGTTCAATCTTGCCTTGAACTTGCCATATAGCCCATGCTGGCCTCTGACTCATAGTTTTCCTCCTCAGTCTCTCAAATGCTGGGATTAGGGCATATATCGCCATGACTGGCTGAAAGATATTTTTAATATATACTGGAATCTTGATTTATACCACTGGAATACATGATACAGAAGGTTGCCAATGGTTCTTAGGCAGTGGTGAACTGGCTAAAACCTAAACCCTACTTGATTTCAAACCAAATTAAGGCAGCACCTATACAAGGAAGGCTATCAGAAACAGTATTTTAGCTCTGTATTTCTTAATTTAAATGTTTGCATATGATTAAAGGTATTAAGATATGAGAAAAACAGGCTGGAGAGATGGCTCAGCGCTTAAGAGCAATGACTGTTCTTCCAGAGGTCCTGAGTTCAATTGCCAGCAACCACATGGTGACTCAAAACCACCTTGAATGAGATCTGGTGCCCTCTGCTGGCATGCAGGCAAAAGACTTTATACATAATAAATAAATAAAAATCTTTAAAAAAAAACATAGACGTTTAAAAAATATGAGAAAAACAAGTCATGAGGTCTATAACTAAAAGAAGACATAGTATGAACAGAGATAAAGACAGTCCAACTGCTGGAATTATTAAACAGGAACATTAAAATCTCTGTAATACACTCGGGAGGCAGAGGCAGGCGGATGGATCTCTATGAGTTTGAGGCCAGCTTGGTCTCCAGAGCAAGTGCCAGGATAGGCTCCAAAGCTACACAGAGAAACCCTGTCTCGAAAACAAAACAAAACAAAACTCTGTAACAAAGTAGAAGTGGGGCAAAAACATAAAATTGCTCTTTTCATAGATAACAAGATGGTGTTTGCATAGAACAGCATGGCTCTCAGATAGACAGCAAAAACACAGACAACAAATGAGTTTATGTATAAGAAAATACAGCATTAGGAATCAGAAGTACTACTCGAAAGGCAGAGGCAGGTGGATCTCTGTGAGTTCAAGACCAGCCTGGTCTACAAGAGCTAGTTCCAGGACAGCCTCCAAAGCCACAGAGAAACCCTGTCTCAGAAAAAAGAAAAGAAAAGAAAAGAAAAGAAAAGAAAAGAAAAGAAAAGAAAAGAAAAGAAAAGAAAAGAAATCAGAAGTACCGATCATAGTGGCATAGGCCTTTAATCCCAGCACTGGGGAGGCAGAGGCAGTCAGATCTCTGTGAGTTTAAGACCAGCCTGGTCTACAAGAGCTAGTTCCAGGACAGCCTCCAAAGCCACAGCGAAACCCTGTCTCAGAAAAAAGAAAAGAAAAGAAATCAGAAGTACCGATCATAGTGGCATAGGCCTTTAATCCCAGCACTGGGGAGGCAGAGGCAGTCAGATCTCTGTGAGTTTGATGCTAGCCTGTTCTACATAGAGAGTTCAGGCCAGTCAAGGGCTATATGGTGAGACTCTGTCTCAAAAGCTTAAAAAGTACAACTAATTGTTCCTCAGTGTTATCCAGTCAAAACATTAATCAAAAAATAAAAGAGGCCAGAACATCAGTTACTTTGGACAATGGTATTAATTGGTAGTGGACTGAAGGGAGGGTGCTGAATGATAAATTGTTTTAATCTTGACAAATATACTATTACATGGGTGTATAAATCTGTGAGGTTTAATTAAACTATTTATTTTAGATTTATATACTTTTCCATGTATAAGCTATATCTCAATTGAAAAGCCAGTGAGAGGGCGTGGCTCCATTGCAATAGAACATGCTTGTAAAGTAATGCTCTTATCACTGTAGAAGCCAATTCCACTAGAAATTTAATGATGTTGAAAAGGCCTTTGATTGTCCCTATCTAGTGAAGAACAGTCCTGTGGGCAAGCAGGGAGAGGAGGGACATGTTCTGCAGTGTTTCTGAGGAGGAAGCTGTCGGGAATTAGCTGAGTCCATTTTGGAATGGCTAAATTCCTTTTGGTGATGAGCAGACATGCATGAATCATTCTGTCATATATCTGACCATGATTCCAGCTGCTTTGGGATCTGCCGGGAAGTCCTCCCTGAGGGAATCACAGCAAAAAAGAGGAAGGGTTAACAGTATGGATAATATCAACCTTCCCATTCTTTTCCGTTATCAGCACTCGCCCACCCCCCAGGCTTCTGAGTGCTGAGATCTAAGAATGAAGTCACGTCTACAAACTCAAAGCTGCAGACAGGAAAACAGTCATCTCAACTCCAGTGACCAGCTAGATTTAGTAACCACCAACTACTCTAATATATTCGACTTATTTGATTTTAAAATAATTTGCCACTGGATATATCAAGTCTCCTTGGCTCCAGGGAGTAGTTTTTACAGTGCAAATACACTTTCTTGAAGTTACTATGAGGATGTGAAAGCTCACCTCCTTCCTTTTCCAAGGGGGTGATAAAGCCCACTGGGGGATATGATGGCCACCAGTCAGGGACACAGGCTGCTGACAGTTCATGAAATGCAAGTGACATCACCCCAGTGTGAGGACATTAGTCTCCCAAAGTCTCCACTTGTTTCTGAGTCAGAGACAGGCGGGCTTCAGGGAGACTGAGTGTCCCTGTGTCATAGAGCAGGAGGCTGAGAGGTTCCCAAAGATCACCTGGGCCGCTCACTCCATCCTGGTTTGTCCTAACATTAATCAAGGACTGGCTCACAGACAGGGTCAGAAGGAGAATGAAAAGCTTCTAGTACCACAGGTAGCAGATGCTCCGTGAAGAAGCAGAGCTTGTGACTCCACTGAGAATCTTCAAAAGCTTCTTCCAGAGGCCCAGAGGGTGCATGGGCTGGCCATGTTGCTGGTATACCTCACCTTCTCCCAGGGCCAGGGCGCCTCCCTGCCAAGTGTCAGGAAGCAATGCCTAGTGCATTCATTTTTCTGATGGACGGCCCTAGCTTTACCCTCTCAGTTCCATGGCATTTGGTAAATGACTAAAGTCAATGAACCTCCGTTTTCTTAAGACGGTGTTGTGAATATACAGAGCTCTGACTTCGGGTGCCTGGACCAAATATAATAGTTATCAAAATGGGCCAGCGAGGTGGCTCAGTGGGTAAAGGGACTTCTTGTCATGCCTAAGTTTGATTTCTTGGGCCCACAATGGTGAAGAAGAGAACTGACTCCTGCAAGTTGTCCTCTGACCTCCACAGGTGCTGTGGCACACTCCCTGCCAAACTACACCCAAATAAATAAATCCGATTTTTAAAATTAAAATTGCACAATGGTGAATGATGCAGTCCTCTTGGGAATGTGAAAAAGACTACTTCCAACAGGCTCAGACCCACATATGGAAACTTTGGACATCGCTTCCATTTATCTCCCATAGATAGCATGGGAGCTCTAGAAGGAAGCTTCCAGAAAAGCTTGTCCAACTCACTCCAAGAACTAAAGAGAGCAAAAGCTCAATTGAAAAGTCCATTTCTGTTCTAACTCTTATATATCAGGTTTACTGGAGTGCTGCAAAGCAATCTAAACCTTTCGGCTCTCAGCCCTGCTCCCAAACGTGTGGGGAATTGAGGCAAGTTAATTAATGGCTCACTCATAAAACACAGGCAATAGGCCTGTATTTTAAAGTATGGTAGCAAGAATGAAATGA